ATTTGAAATGGTTTTCAAATATGTACTTGTAAATTTGCCAAATATTTTTAAAAAACTTTGGGTTCTGTCAATTGTCGCACGAAGACAATGAATTTTGGTTTGTTTTATATGTCACGGTTTACAAGAAATTTAAAAAATGTTATGAACAAACGCGTAACAAAAAATATACATTTATGATGGGAATTAAATAAAATACATATCTGTTATTTGTAATTTATGTTTGATTAAATTAGAGAGAAATGTTAAGAAAGATGAGAAACATTATGCTAAACTAATAATTATTTACGTATTATTAAAAACACCATTTAGTTAGAACTTTCCACGGCTTAAATCAACCAATCCTGAGTTTTTACCACTTGTTACCAGTTTACACCAGTTTTTACCATTTTACCACTTTTTACCACTTTATACCGCTGTGATGGTAAAAATCAAACCAAGTGGTAAAATTTAAAACACTGCTAAGTATAAGTGGTCTTTACATACACTGTAAGAAATTCTATCACCGTCTTATCAACGGGCTGTCACTATATATGACTCCACCGCACTACGGCACGGAGGAACCAGATAGTCGCAGAAAATCGATAACCTCCTTAAAATAAAGGTAACCCCGACATGAGATACACCATTTTTTTCAGTCTGACGAGAAGAATTATATGGACCTATTTAAATTTAAAAACCACACCCCCAAGAGGGTGGTACCTGGTGCCAATTCTAAATAAAATACACCCTGGCATGCGACATGTCATTTTTCTCAGGATGACAAAAAAAATCTCATAAATTCATCCAAACTTTAAGGCCGCACCCACTGGGGGTGTGGTTTATGGCGCCTGTTTTAAGTAGAACAAGCCATGGCATGTGACATATCGTTTTTCTCAGGATGACGAACGGAATCTTGTATATCCGTCCAAAATTTAAGGCTGCACCCAATGGGGGTGTGGCTTGTGGCGCCTATTTTAAATATGTCGTATGTCGTATGTTGTATGTCGTATATTCTAGTCCGCTTGATAGAACTATTTTTTAATGTCAGAAGAAGTCAGAACTAGCACTTTTTGGTCTCGTTCGTCTTCGTTTTACAAGTCTTATAGGACATAAAAATTTTGCAAAAACCCAAGTCCATATGGCACAATTGACATCGCGTCAACTTTTTGGCCAAACACTCCGGGTTCTAATCTCGGTAGAGTTTTTTTTTTGCAATCCACATTTGGCCACAATCCTTATAATTTGTGACGGGAAGTCAAGCTAAACATGATACAGTCGGCCACTCCCTGGAGCGTATGGGGGAGTGGTCAATTTGAATAAAAGTGGTTATTATTCAATTATAATTACATTTTTATCGTACATTTTCTATTTAAAGACAAACATATTCACGATATACAAAATACACCTAGTTGGTTAGGAGAGTAGAGGAAAAACCCAATGTTGGAGGATTGGGAAAACCTATACGTGGTTCGGATTGGCGTCCGGGATCACCATTCGGCTCCATACAAAAATTGTGTAAAATAATAATCACTTTAGCTTCACTTCCCGTCACAAATTATAAGGATTGTGGCCAAATGTGGATTCCAAAAAAAAACATCTCTCCCGAGATTAGAACCCGGAGTGTTTGGCCAAAAAGTTGACGCGATGTCAATTGTGCCATATGGACTTGGGTTTTTGGAAAATTTTTATGTCCTATAAGACTTGTAAAACGAAGACGAACGAGACCAAAAAGTGCTAGTTCTGACTTCTTCTGACATTATCAAAATTCAAAATATTATTATCAAAATTACACCTGCCATACCTCTGCACATTCATTCATTGAAGGAAAATGAAGGCTTTAATCCAGATGAGGTCCTGAATCTTGAATGAGGGGAGTGAAGGAAGATCTGAGCTTCACGGAAACAGTGAAGGGAGTGAAGGAGAAATGAGAGAGTGGAAAATGAGTGGAATCAAGGAGAATGAAAGGAAATTATAAGCTGACTGAAAGATTTTTCGTGCATTTTCCTCACTAAAATCCAAAATTTTGAACTTTAATCCTAACATTTTACTATGTTTTTCATAAAAATGTACATTTTTCTTTGTCTATGTATGATTTTACGAGAAAAATGTAACAATATTTTCTCTCATACAATTCATTTGAGTGAAGTTTCTCACTTTGCCTTAATGAATGAAGGAAAATGAAGGCTTCATTCATTGAGTGAAGGAGAGTGAAGGATGAGTTGAGAGGGTTTGGTTACTGCATGTTTGGTTACTACCGTGTGTCTACTGCAAAGAAACACTTCATTACGTCTTTGCAAAATGAACTCCTCGCAAACAAAGATAATGAAACCTACGTTATTGGTGACCTGAATTACGACCAACTTAACCCGAACAATCAGGCGCGTGAATTATTAGAAATGATGAAACAAATAGGCTTTTATCAAATAATTAAGCAAGCTACTCGCAAAACTGCACAAACAAAAACTCTAATCGATCTAATTTTCACAAATCGACCACGACTAAACATAAAATCTGGAGTGATAACTGAGTGTATTTCTGATCATGACTTAATCTATGCAATACGAAAGAAAGATAAAACTGCAAAGTGCCCGTTAAAGTCAATCGAAATACGATAATTCAAGGACATTGACCAAGAGAAATTAAATAAAAGAATAATGCAGTCCCCCTGGTGGATTTTTGAATATTGCAAAACAAGTGGTGATAGTACAACATTTTCAAAATGTTTGTTACTAGTGCATTAAATATATATGCGCCTTTAAAAAACATCAGAGTGAAACATTTTCGGAAGAAGTGGCTCAATGCAGAATATGAGCAAATTCACAACTTGTGCAAAAAGCTGAAGAAAAATGCAGTAAAAACTGGAAGTGAAAACGATTGGGCTGATTTTAGAAAATGCAGAAATAAAACCAACAATATCAAGTGCAGACTCAAAGCAAATGTAATTAAATCATTTGTAGCAGAATCTGATAACCAAAGTAAGACTTGCTGGAAACTGTTTAATGAAGAAGTTGGACGAACCAAAAGAGATTCTACACTCCCAAATCTATTTGTAAATGGGCAAGAAATATGTGATGAAAAAGAAAAGCTGAACATTTTATGTCAAGCTTTCATAAGACCTGAACTTTTTGCTACTCATCCGTTCAAATTCGAAAAACCATTGAGCACGATGTGTCATATCATACTGACCCCAGAAGATATACAGAAAGCTATTCAAGAACTTGACACCAATAAACCAACTGGAATCGATGGGATCCCACCAATTTTTTACAAAATTTGTGCAGACTCACTGGTCCCTATCCTCACGCTTTTGTTTAATGAATTTTTATCCACTGGAGAATATCCTGAAGAACTGAAGCAAGCCGCCGTATTTCCACTCTACAAAGGAAACGGAAAAAGATGTGATCCTATATGTTATCGGCCAATCTCAATTCTTTGCACAACAACAAAACTGTTCGAGTCTTGCATATATCATAGAATTATGCCATTTATGGAGAAAGAGGACAAATTAAACCATCAACAACACGGATATCGACCATACCGATCCACACAGAGTGCTATCCTTAAATTGACCAACGAGATCCGGAACACTGGAGACGCGCGTGAAATTTCAGGAGCAATTTTTGTTGATTTCTCTTCAGCTTTTGACAACATTATTCATGGTCGTCTCTTACAAAAGATGGAATCATTAGGAATCACCGGAGAACTAAACAAATGGTTTGCAGCTTATTTCACTAATCGAACCATGCTGGTGAGAAGAGGAAAGATGAAGTCTGCAGTTCACAAGCTCCTTCGAGGGACTTGCCAAGGTAGCAGCCTCTCTGGGCTTATCTTCGACATTTATGTCTACGACATCCCATGCTGTATCAAAGAATGCAGCATTTATCAATATGCAGACGATCTCGTTCTGATTGCCACAGGAAACACGATAAATGAGATCAACGATAAATTGCAAAGAGACCTCCAGAATCTACAGGATTGGTGCCATCAAAATGGGATGGAAATAAACATTAAGAAAACACAAAGTATGACTTTCTCCCCTGCAAACCTGAGAATAGAAGGAGAGGTGAAAGTGAAAGTAGGCATGCAAACAATTGAATGTGTCACCTCCTTCAAATATCTTGGAGTAATTTTAGACAGAAGTTTAAACTTTCATTTGCATATCACTAAAGTCTGTTCTGAAATGAGTGCACGTATGTATATGATAAATAAGTATAAGAACTACTTTAGTAGTAACTGGTTGAAAATCTTTTGCACTTCCATAATATGTAGTAAATTGGACTATTGCTTGCCTGTATATGGAAATATGTGCGAAACTGTATGTAACAGAATTGATAAAATTTTACTTAGAGTTGCAAGATTAGTGATCTTGAAAGATAAAAAGATTTTAATGTATGACGCATTCGAAACACTAAACTGGCTATCATGTAAAGAGAGGTACGAAGTGTATACGCTAGAATTTATATTTAAACATATTATTTTAAAATCTCCATTGTTCAAATGTTTTCCAGAATACACCCGATCGGACCACAATAAAAATTTAAGGTCAAAGAACGATTTTGTACTACCTAAAGCGAAAACTAAGTTTGGTCAAATGTCATTTATGTACCAATCAATTAAAATGTGGAATGCTTTACCATATGAAATGAAAGATAGTGAGCTGTTTTCACAATTTTACCCTAAGTTAAGAGAATATAAAATTAAAGCACGAGTATAGCGAGAGTTGAAGTTGTTTAATATATAAAGTAATCGAGTATAGAATTAGGATATTGACTAGAATAGAATTTCCTATTATGACCTCTGTGACTTGGTAATGGAAACAATGTGTACCTACATATTTTTATCGCAGTCACTTGAATAAAGATTGAATTGAATTGAATTGTTTAAAAATGAATGATGGTGATTGATGAAAAATCATTTGCACAGCTGTGATACCATCATAAGAGATTACAGGGCGACCAATTTCTAGCGTATACTACGATATATTTTATTCATATTAAATTTCTCCCATGAATTACAACACTTTAAACTGTTCCGTTATAATACACCTTAAACAGTTCCCCCGTCGAATCCACGGTCACAATCATATGTCCATTGTAATCAAACGCCGCGCTCACCGGTCTGAAACACGTCGCCCTCTCGGCATTATTGACACAACGTTCTCTCTCCGAGTCAAAGATAACGTCCACCATTTCTCCCATGGGAGTCAAGGTAGCCTTATCGAAGGGTAGTCGGGCCACGCGGTAACCCACGGGGGGAGCTCCCCCACAGCAGGAGGATCCATGGAAGGAGACAAACGCATCGCCAATCATACTGCAGGGAAACGAGCCCACCACCCCGTTACAGCCGCGCCCATCGTAAAACGTGATTCCTAACGGGGCCTCGTGTGCCGGCATGGCCAGGGCGGGAAGTTCAACCTGAAAGAATTTTGATATGAAATTATCGCGGGATAAGACAAATTTTAAATTTCGCACCACTCTCCGTCAACTTGAGACGGATCCCTGGGGCAAAGTGAGAATTAGCCTTTTATAGGCCTTTTAATCATACCGCCGGGGAAAATTCAAATAATATGGGGCAACGTGAAAGTTTCTCTAGTCGCCCCAACGCTCAATCTCAAATTGACCAACAATAAATGCATAACTACTTACATTGCTTCGATTTCGACACCATTCGTCCGTATGGATTCCATCGTTCAGGAAAGTGTGCCACGCGAACTGTGTTCCCGGCGGGAAATCATTCAAAATGTAACTGCTGAAGCAGTACGGATAACCATAAAATGTTCCGGGCGGTCGGTTGAATCGGTTCAACTCCTCCGTGGGATTGAACATGGCGAAGTTATCGGGGCCAAGATCGGGCCTTACTATGCCACCCGTGATACCGTTCTCGACACCCCACAGAGTTCCGGAAGCATCGAAGTCGATCCCGACATCGTTCCGGACGCCGTCGACGTAAACCTTAAAGTAAAATGTGGCTCATCTAGTGTTATTGCGAAATACAAAAATTCCCCCCATTTCCTACCCCAAAAATGTCATGATACCCATTGGGGTTGTTTCGTTCACTGGGAATATGCCTAATTGCAAAGTTCCCAATCTTCGAAGAAAATATCGAGGATTCAAGGGAATTTAAGGAAATATTGGGAATATTACTAGTGGAAAGATCGTCAAATTCCATATCTCTCGGGAATTTACTCCCACTTAGCGGCATACGCACCACCATACCATTGTTTAAATATTTATTCTTTAACTAACCTCCTCAGTCTCAAAATCAATCGGAAAATCGACACTATTCAACCGGCCGAATTTCCTTATCCGCGTTCGATTCGAATCCAACTCCGGCGGCGTGTTTACCCCTGTTCCCACAGCAACGTAGAAGTTCATTCTAGCATCGAAAATAATTGGCCTCGCGATAAACGCCACCTCATTAGAACCTGGGATGTTGTAGATCACCTGTTCTGCCGGAACGCCCACCATCCTGCGCTGTCCTGGCGTGTACGGCCATCTGTACACCGACGAGCGACTGGATGCGTACAGATATCCCGCCGCGTATGTCAGGGCATGAGTTAATCCCAGACTGGTATCATTCGTAATCTGAACCACGACCGGGTTTCCCCCCGCGTCAGGGAAGACGGCAAAAATTTCCGCGAGTGATCTCGACACGACCAGAACGTCGTCGACGGGATCAACCGTGATTCCTCGCGGGGTGGGGAGCGCTGTCCAACGGGTGGCGTAGAATGAAGCTCCCGTCGAAAAGTTGGCCTGTCCGTGAACCGCGGTGAAGAAGATGTTGGCTAGAAAAAGGGTCAGTTGTGCGCGGGTAAAAGCGAACGACGGACTTCCAGAATTTTCCATCATTATTTAAGTGATTGTTGACCAAATGTGGAGAATGAACCGCTCAGGTGGCGACTGCATGAAGAAGTAGAAATATTGTTGGCTTATATATTGCTAAATTATCTGTTCGTGTTGCATAACGTAAATTATGCAACGCATAGATTACGATGTACGTACCCCACCAAATACATACCTTGAATGGCTAGGTATTAAATAATTTGCGTCATTTTCCTGCTGCGAGTAAAGGATTACAGGATTTAAAGGATTTGTTTACAGGGTTCAGTGTTGCCCGTGGTATTTACCACCTTTTACCGGACAGTGGGGAAAAGACACTTTTTCTCACACACCAAAATCAGTAGGAAATGGGAAAAAGTGGGAAAAAGGGTAGTTCTCAGGCAGCTTCCACTAGATGGCGCCCCTGTATACCTCTAGGTGTCGATCAATTTTTCCCACTTCCCACTGGGAAACAGTGGGCGGGAAAAAGCGGGTTTTCTCACTTTTTCCCACTGTCTTGGGGGAAAATGTTCTGGACTGGAAATATGCAACAGTGACAGGATTATGCACGGTGTTGACCAAGCGCTAAAGCAAACGAATTATTGCCTACGTTCGCACAATATGCCCAGGAAATGCCCTCAATTTCCCATAAGTGACCATCCAAGGGTCACTTGAGCCTTAACCCCGGTGAGTACAAATCGAGTACTATTATTCACATAGACTATTTTCTTTAGCTGTAAACTGTTCGTATTCTTCTTGAAGAAAGGAAGAAGCCAAATTCGGCTGGGTGTCTTTAAACCACTAATTCACATCGCAAGTGGATTAGCTTGGTTCAAACCGGTTTTACCTCGTTAATAAAGCTACTTATCTTAACTTGTTTATACTTGTTTTAACCTTTTTTAGCTGTTAGTTTATACCAGTGGTAAATACCACTAGAATCCCTGCAATTCGGCATTCCTAAACGTCATTGCGATGGATTTGCCCAATTCCAACGCTTCCACATATGATAACACGGTGCATGGTTCATCAACTGGTCAGTATAAACCGATTATTTCCGCCTGCCAATTGGCAAATTTATCCATAATAAAAGGATAAATCATTCCTAATCTCAAATCACGGCCAGGGATGTGACGCATGCGGCTAATTAAGTGTTACAAAATATGTTATTCTGGAGCTTAAAGTAAATTCCAGGCTTTGGGATTTTAAATTGCGTAATATCTAGTTATGAAACGCTGAATTTACTTTTGGTCCTTGCAGTTCTACTTGCCTCCTACTTTCCTTAAGTTATTGCTGTATACCAGTGTTCGCCAAATAGCACAAAAGCATGGATGGCTGTAATACACCTTTGATTTTTACATAGTTTTTTTTACCGCTTTGCTGTTTTACTCATGATTTTCTGTTGTTTTGCTGTTTGAACAGACGCCATCCTGCGGCGCATTATGTTATAAATATCAATAAAGCAAAATGTCAAAAAAGCATCCGATTTTCATTAGTAAGAAAAGCCGCTTAATTATGTAAAAAAGTATGTTTTTCAAAAAAAAATTTTTTGCTAGGGCTAACACTGCTGCATACCGCATGCGTTCAACGGAAATGTAGCCCCTACAACAGGACGCACACCCACTCGAGTGCCATACTGGGGCAAATGTGCGAAGAAATTTCCACTGAAACATTTCGAAATCGAAGTAAAATATCGAATCTGAAAATTAATATAATTTTGTGCTTTTTGACTACTACTATAACCTTATGCACTCTAATTTTAGAAATTTGCAAATTTACAATACATAAGGAAGTCAGTCAAAGGTCGACGTTTTCGAAGCAAGTTCTAAGCAGTGTTGCATATTTCCCGTCCAAAACATTTTGTCTCAGGATAGTGGGAACAAGACACTTTTCCCCAAGTACTTTCTCCCATTGGGAAATGTGAAAAATAGAGCGCCACCTAACGGTATGCAGGGCCCCCATGCAGTGGAATCTGCCTTAGTACTAACTTTTTCCCACTTTTTCCAATTTCCCACTGATTTTAGTGGGTGGGAAAAAAGCGTCTTTTTCCCACTGTCCGGTAAAAAGTGGTAAATGCCACGGGCAACCCTGGTTCTAAGTACTTTTTAAATTAGTCTTAAATTCGCGCTGCCCTCCACTTTCAAAATTACCATGACCCGATTAACTTTGATGCTCCATACTTTTGCAAAAACCATAGAAATAAACGCAATAAAACAACGCTTGTGGAAACGTAACCTGCTTTATTGACAAGTTTAATACAATCTAATTTTTTAAATTCCTGGTATTTAACTAATTTTACAAATTTAAGATATGTATAAAGCTCTTCATTATTTTGCGTTATAAATTTGCTTCTGCATTCCTTTAGTGAATCGAAATATCCGCGCAGTTTCGGTAGTATTGCTTGGCCCCTTCACCATACCAATGCCACTGGAGGACACATCTGTCACACGTCAATCCAGCAGGAAGTTGAACACTCGCGCGGATGTATTGGTTGGTATTCATATTTTTGCGCGTTGTGCCGAGAATTGGAGGAGGTATTGAGCAACTTATATTGAGCAACTTTCTTTTCAAATTGGTTACATATCGAAATTCCTAATATTCATAAAATATTCCTAATATGACCAGACTTATTCCATACATAAAGCTTGGACCTTAGCAGACAATCGAAATCGTTAACTTGTCAGTGTAGCTGTTGTTAATTATTACTATTATGCATGTAAACACATGGAAACAATAATTATGACTGGATCAATTTGACGGAACTTAGTACGCACGCACTCCAAAACCTTAATAATTTTGTTCAAAATATTTTAGGTCGAATCCTAGTGAATCTATATATTTTCTGCACATTCGTAATCCAAAGAATGCGTATTTTAATAAATTAGCAGGTTACACCCCCTGGGGGACCAACCACACCCCTTGTTGGGGGGAAGTGAGACTGGCGCTTGATTATTGTTAAACAATTATCGGGGATACTACCTACCGGATTTCAGAATCTTAACCCCTATCGTTTAGGTGTAAGATGAGTTTAAAGGTCTCAAAACAGGCGTTTGGGGGCTATTTCGACCACGCCCCCTGCCCGGGGTGGCAGACTTGGGCAGCTGCACGTGATACGGTTTGTCTCTCCTGCCGGAGTACTATATAATCCTACAAGGTTTCCTTGGAAGTGAGTGGGATGCTCTAGATATTCCATGTCGAAGTCATCCAAAACGAATTTTTAACGTACAATGGGGATGCAAACCATATTTAACCCAGATTATTTTTTGACTACTTCAGTTTGAAATACCAACTCTTGAGAAACAACATTTGGTGCGGTACTTGCGCAGATGCGCAAAACTCAGAAAGTTATGGAGCCCGCAAGTTCGCGAAAACGCCTGATTTCAATTGGGATTTGTGATTTGCGACAATAGCCAACCAGGTACACTTACGTAGTAAGGTGTCGTTCGTGTCCAGGGTACCCACTATGTATTTTAGAATCTACTAGAACTGAAGGATCCATTCTTATTTCCGTGTTAAACTCATATTTGGCCTGGTACCAAAAATAGAAATCTGCGTTTTCGCCCATTTTCAACTCTCCATAAATGTTACGTTTCCGTGGGATTTGCAAAGTTTTGCGCAAAAAAATCGGGACATGCCTGCTTCCCGGGTTGCATGACAGACTGAACTGGAGAAGATTTCCCCATCATATGTGAAACAGTTAAGTACAGCTCAAGAAAAAGGCCGAGCAGTCGCAAGGCTCAAATCCCAATTGAAATCAGGCGTTTTCGCGAACTTGCGGGCTCCATAACTCTCTGACTTTTGCGCATCTGCGCAAGTGCCGCACCAAATGTTGTTTCTAAAGAGTTGGTCTTTCAAACTGAGGTAGGCAAAAAATAATCTGGGTTGAATATGGTTTGCATCCCCATTGTACGTTAAAAATTCGTTTTGGATGACTTCGACATGGAATATCTAGAGCATCCCGCTCACTTCCAAGGAAACCTTGTAGGATTATATAGTACTCCGGCAGGGGAGCCATACCGCATCACGTGCAGCTGCCCTAGTCTGCCACCCCGGGCAGGGGGCGTGGTCGAAATAGCCCCCAAACGCCTGTTTTGAGACCTTTAAACTCATCTTACACCTAAACGATAGGGGATAAAATTCTGAAATTTGGTAGGTACTATCTGCGATAGTTGCTTAACAATAATCAAGCGCCAGTCTCACTTTCCCCCCACAGGGGGTGTGGTTGGTCCCCAAGGGGGTGTAACCTGCTAATTTTTTTAAATACGCATTCTTTGGATCACGAATGTGCAGAAAATATATATATTCAGTAGGATTCGACCTAAAATATTTTTGAACAAAATTGTTAAGGTTTTGGAGCGCGTGGTAGGTTCGCCTGATCAGCAGACGTCTACAGCCCAAAGTCAAATAGTATGTTCGCCACATCAGTCGATTGTGAATGCTTGAATAATGATCTAATTTCAATCATCCGCAACCCCCATCGTTCTGTCCAGCATGATATATTGATTATTCGCCAATCACGATGTGTACTACCATGGTCTCTAATACTACTGGTTACCGCACTGTAGTTCATTGAGAGAGAGAGGTTGAATCCAAGCATGTAATGGTCACCAGAGGCGCCACCAGCACTTAATACGCTGGGATTCTTCCTCAGTGGATTTGTTTACACTAAATCATTGAATTTTCAAAAATTAATCAATACAGCTTCATTTAAAGTGAAGATGCCTTCGTGTTTTGTTGTCGACTGTAGCTCGGGTTATAATGGCTCGGCAATTCGTCTCTTTAAACTTCCTTCAAATTCAACAAGTGACATTAGGGAATTGTAGATGAAAAATATCCCGAAACGAGAAATTAACTTTCAACTATCAAAGCATTTAGTTTGTTATCTCCATTTTGAAGAACAGTTTATTGTGAATTATAATTTCATAATTCAGAATAACGTACGGATTAATTATGTAGAAAGGAAACGCTGGAAGTTAATGTCGGACGCCGTTCCAACAAAGTTTTCAAACAATCTGCTGTCTACAAATTATGAT